TTTCCCGTTCTACCTACCCAGCTATCCACTGGACGTTGTCACCAACACGCGCCAAAATTACAAGTGAATCTCTATTCAACATTTTCCTCTATTTAAACAAGAATGTGCTCCTCCCTACTCACTTATTTGTATTACTGGGCTACATTCATTCTACCAGCCTCCCACTTGTGAAGCTTTGGGTTCACTTACCCTCTCCTTACCCAACTCCCTGCTCGCAGCACTGCCATGTAACCATGCCCTATGTTGTACCTGCTGTTTACAAAATGCTTCTTGCGTTCACTCTTTCTATTTATTTTTCATTTTTGCTGATACCAATTAAATTCAGGCTTACATTATCTACAATCTGAAAGATTGATTACAAAAGTATTTTCCTAAACTCCATAAGGGACCAAATCAGCCTATTATTGCTTCATATAATTTTCAGTTTCTTTTCCTTTCCAATGTCAAAATTCACCATCCTTCATTTAGTTACTAGGACGTGGATATGTAGTACTATGCAGTGTACAAGGCTCAAATGTCCATTTATCTACTCACAAGTGTATTTCCAAGTATCTGTATTAACCAGGCAAGATTCAAGCAAGTTTCTGAACTCATGAAATTTACATTTTAATGGCTATCCATGGGTTTGAACTGTGGATCCAGTATTTTTAGATATGTGACCTTAGACAAGTTACTTAAGTTTTCCAAGATAATGTTCCTTAAGCCATAAAAAGGGGGTGGGGTAAGATATAATGTATAATATAGGTTCTTGTAAGAAATAGAACTTAGGCCAGTGGACCTGTGATTCATCCAATAAGTTCTAATGTTTTTTTTTTTTTTTTTTTTTTTTTGCCTGAACTGTATGGTTTGTCTTTTTTCTAAAAATAGTTTTACTCACCTCTATCCCACATTATTTGGGTTTACTTATGTTTTGGCCCATACTTTTTCTAATTTATTACATAAAGCACAAGCTAAACATTTTTAACATTTGCTTTCTTTTTATATTTTGAAAACGGGCCGAGCTCATATCCATACTTTCAAATGAAGCAGAACATAAAGTATTAAAAGAGTATGAAGAAGATTCTCTACCTGGTAATAAAATTGAGAATCTCAATTTCCAATCTCAACCATCACTTTTTCTTCCCCAAATTAGAAGCGTTCAAAACGCAGAGTCTCTTCCCTCTCACCCACTTCTCAGTTATTAGGAAACTCAGAAAGAAGAGGTCTTACTCAGGTATTCATTCCAGTGGCAGTTCACATCTAATGGGCAAAAGGTTTCAATCACCAATAAAGTACCAGGAACTCCATAAAACTCTAGAAAATCCTGGCTCTGGTTTTCAAAGAATGTACATTGCCAGGTAGGTGAGTGGCTCAGATGCAGCTGCTAGCTGAGAGTGCCAGCTACTAGCTACCTATATTCTATGTGAATACAGTTGTCCCTTGGTGTCCTTAGGAGATTGGTTCCAGGACACACCACAGACATCAAAATCCACAGATGGTCAAGTCCTTGATAGAAAATGGTGTAGTGTACTATTTGCACATAACCTATGCACATCCTCCTGCATTCTCTAAATCATCTTTAGATTACTTATAATACCTAACACAATAATATGCTATGTAAATAACAATTATACCGTATTGTATAGGGAATAAAGACAAGAAAAAAGTCTGTGTATGTTCACGATAGACGAGTTTTCTTCCAAAGATTTTTGATTTGTGCTTAACGGAATCCACAGATGCGGAGCCATTGAACACAGAAGGCCCATTGTACGCTCAGAGTTACCAAGGATCTTGAAGGTAATCTAGACAATTTCTAATCTGTTATAAAAATCTGTATGCTAGAACATCTTTACCAGGACCTGTCATTCAACTTTTTCTTGGATGCCTTCAGCAACAGGGAGCTCAGTACTCTTATGTGTTCCATTTTTAAAAGGTTTAAATTTTAAAAGTGCTTATATCTCTCTGGTTTTCCCAATAGTTAAAGGAAAGAAATATTTATATCTCTTTCTGAATTTTCACAACTACACACCCCTCTAAACAGGGTTCAAAACAACCTTTCAGTCATTCTGAATGTAATAGTGTTATCAGTATTGCCAATGTTATTACAAGATTCATAATTATTTAACACACTCTCTCTATATAGGCAGACCAGCTCAGAATACAATGAGCCATGACATCCTATTTTGGTTTAAGCATTTTAGGATTGAAATAATCCTAAATGTCATGGTCACCCTACTCGGGCGGCTAATATTAAAGCTTTGCCTCCTGCGGGATCTTTCTTGTCATCAATACTCGATGGCTTCATGGCCTTACTGCTCAACCTGAGGCATGCTGATGTTTCAGAAAAGCAGGTAAGCAGGCAAGCCTAAGGGAAATTGCATCAATTCTTGAGAATTGAGGACAGTGTTCTGTGACTATCACTTAAATTAATCAAAATTTAACTATCAGTTTAGACTATCCTTCTGTCCCAGAGGCAAAAGCAGAGTTGTTTCAAGCTTATTGGAAATCAGTTCCATAATCATTCAAATAAAATTACTGACACTACTTTATTTCATGTGAACAAGGACATTATATTAATATTATTATGCCACTTGAAATATGGCTATTTACTGGCAGATAGGTTACAAAACCATTAGATTATATGTAGGTATTTTGTGACTTTTTAGAAAATGCTGATTTCTTTCATTTAGATGCTTAATATTTTACATAAATGAGCTCTATTTCAGTTGAAATAAATGTGACATAAATTAGAAATCCTTGAGAACTCGGTTTTTAAATTTGGGGGACACTAAAATGTCCCAAATCACTACATTATAAACCAATGATTCGCATTTTTCTTATTCTAAAGGAGAAAATACTTTTGCATTGCCATGTATGTATAATATACCCCCAGTTGTAAAAAATGAAATAATGTGATTAAATCTTTATTTCTAATTAACATTGCTTTTCAAAATGTTCAGAAGGGATTAAGAAATATGATCTAAGCAAAACTATGCATTATTGAACCCAAAAAGCCAAGACATATAAAAATAGGTAAGAATGGGCCAGGAAAAAGTAATTTCAGAACTCAATAAAAATGTTTAGAAATTTAAGATGATATAAAAGTTAAAATTCTTCAATTTTGAAATTCCTCTTTACTCTATGGACAAATAGAAATCTAAAATGTTACCTAAATGATAATAACAATAATTACATAATGTTTACAAAGACTGAGATTTTCAATATTCCTATGTCTTTGCTTGAAACACATAAAATTAAAATGATATAGTCACAATTTGTTTCTTCACTATTGTAGATTTAGTAATTTTTAATGAAGCAACTAAATTAGGCATAACTTACTACAGCTCTAATGTAGTTATGATGAATATATTTTACTTGATTAACAATGATAAAACCAGGGAGCCTTAAATATTATCTTAAGAGATTAACTACTGTGTCAATTACAAATCTGGGAGAAAGGTATTTATAAGGGAATAACTATTCTGAACAGTAACTTCCTTTTGTTCATTTCATTTAATTAATGACTCAATCAGCTTGCACTCTTAATACTAAAAGTTTCCTAAATTACACATTGGCTTGAAAATGGAAGGGCATACAACAGGGCTATGTCAATTTAACACTGATGAAAATTCACTGAGTAATCCCTTTTTTTATTTAAAAACTACTTGGCAGAGTACAGTGTTCTCATTAACTAAGTAACTGCCAATTCTGCAATTCTCCAATTCATGTTACATGACATAACATCAATAAATTCTAGTAAAAATCAAATTATTTGGATATCTAAACAGTGATGAGGCCTGCTCTACCAGGAGGTACATTAATAAGGAGATGTCTCAAGGCCTTGAGACTGAGTAAATGAGGCAAATTTCTCCACCTCCCAATCTTTTAGGGTAAACAATTAACCAAAGTATTTAAGAAGTTCCTTACTGTAGGAAGAGAAAGAGAGGTAATCATCTGTATACATACATTATCTGCTGAGAGGGAAAATCTTGTAACGAAACAGTTTTGATATGAGTATTTGACTTTTATCAAAGTACAAATATATGGTCATAGATGACAATTTTCACCTAAGGAACAGAAATAACTTTCCCCACATTTAATAGCCAATCTCCTCTGAACAGGTAACTGTCCCCTTCAGAATAGTAATTAATATTAAGGTTCTTCCCCCTAAATCCCTGACCCTTCTAAAGAGCACCATACAATCACACTTTCTACCCTCAACCCTCTGCCAGGGATCACTAAGGTGGCCGCACAGTCAATTGGGGCTGTTATCCTTTAGTCCTGTATGTAGCCCATTTCCCGGGGTTCTCCAGAGATGCTAATAAAAATCAATTTCCTTGACAAAAGACACACACACACACACACACACACACACACACACACGCTCGTGGCTTTTTCTTTTCTTTTCTTCCAAGATGGGAGGGGCGGAGCGGGTAGGCCTGGAAGGATTCGAAGGACGTTTTTAAAGGAAGCAGAAGGCTACTTGCACCGGACTGCACTTTAGTTGTGTTAAAAAGTGATGCAAGTGGGTTTGCATTATTCAGCCACTAAAACCAAAGCGACCTGCCCACAGAAACCCCTGTCAGAAACGCGGAGTTTGCGGGGAAACCACTCGGCAAAGCTATAAATGCCAACTCCGGCATAAATTCAAAACTAACTCTGCCCGGCCCGCAGGCGTTGCGCGAGAAGGACAAAACCTGCGGCCCAGCGAGCCCCGCGTCTCCTGCCTCCGAGGGACCGGAGCGTCCCTAGTCTTTGCTGAAGTCAGAAGTGAATGTCACCTGCAGACCCGCCCCACCCTCTCCGTTGGTCTTTCTCCTCCTCAGCCGGGTTCGGACAGTCTCTGATTCCCAGTCGCAGCCCTGGCCGCCCGCGACTCCCCAGTCCCCACCCCGCCTCCACTCGCGTCGCCTCCCCGAGGTCCCGGCTTCTCCGAGCGCTGCTGGGCGCTGGTTGGCGGCGGGGCTGACAGGAGGCGGGGCCTGCAAGTCTCAGCCAAAGCCGCCCTCGCGTATAAGCCCCTTCTCAGCTCTCTCTCTGCATCTCTCTCCTCTCTTTCTCTCTCGCTGCTCCCTTCCTCCTGTAACTGAACAGTGAAAATTCACATTGTGGATCCGCTAACAGGCACAGATGTCATGTGAAAACGCACATGCTCTGCCATCCACACCGCCTTTCTTTCTTTTCTGTTTCCTTTTCCCCCCTTGCTCCTTCTCCCTCTTCTTTGTAACTAACAAAACCACCACCAACTCCTCCTCCCGCTGCTGCCCTTCCTCCTCCTCCTCAGTCCAAGTGATCACAAAAGAAATCTTCTGAGCCGGAGGCGGTGGCATTTTTAAAAAGCAAGCACATTGGAGAGAAAGAAAAAAGAAAAACAAAAGCAAAACAAAACCCAGGCACCAGCCAGCCAGAACATTTTTTTCACCCTTCCTGAAAACAAACAAACAAACAAACAACCATCAAAACAGTCACTACCAACAACATCAAACTGTTAACATAGCGCGGCGGCAGCGGCAAACGTCACCCTGCGGCCACGGCGTCTGCCTGAAGGGATGGTTTTCTCCGCAGAGCAGCTCTTCACCGACCACCTTCTTCACTCGTGCTGAGCGGGATTTTTGGGCTCTCCGGGATTCGGGCTGGGAGCAGCTTCATGACTACGCGGAGCCGGAGAGCAGCCACACCATGCGAGGTAAGCGAGCCCGAGGGCACCCAGGCTCCCGGGTCCGGCCAACTCCAGCCAGACGCGGAGCTGGGGGAGGGGAGGGCACTCGGCCGAGGGGAAAGAGGTTGGCCAGGCGCACCCCGCGCTGGCAGGTGGGGCTGCGAATGGCCCGAGCATAGAAAGTTGTAGGAAAGGTGTTGATGCCTCTCGGGAGTTCTGGAAGGACGCGGGAGGGCGCTTTTTGGAGATGGGAGAGAGACGAGTTGGTAACCACCAGTCCTTGAGTTGCACTGAATCTTTTTTTGCGCGTTGCTCTCGGGCGCTGAAGCGGACTCAGAATGAGGAAAGCGCTGGGAGAGGATTGCCTCCGGGAAGAAGCAGCTGGAAATGTTGGGCGCGCAGCGGTCGCCGGCCGGGGATGGGCGCGCGAGGCGCACCGGCAGGCGGCGGGGTGTACACGCGCGGGCACACACGTCCTGGGTTACGAACCCCACTAGCGTCCCGGTCAAGAGGCATGTCCTTTTGCGAGAGTGGTAGGCAGAGTGGTAATGTCGCGGGACTGGAGGTGGCTGAGGGTACAGTCCTCTTCTCGCGCCTTCACGCCCGCGCTGCGTCCCGGCGGGGTCTGTGTGCCCCAGCCTGCGCGGCCCAGGGACAAGCGCGACCCAAAAAAAGTTGTATGGAGAAAGTTCCGAAAGCGAGGACAGGCCATGCTCCCTGTGGCTGGGGAGCTAAGGACGCTGACTCTTTTGTCAGATAAAGGGCGGGTAGGAAAGGAGGTGCTGGGTGAGCCCTCAGGCCAGGACCCTGGCCACTACAGCCGTCGGCGTCAGTGGGACCCCGGGCAAGCTGGCGTTTGCGGGGCCGTGCGCCAGGGACAGGAGCGCTACACCTGCTCTGGTTGCACGCTGGGCCGCAAGAATGGCTTGTTGGTTGGTTTTAGGAAGTCACTTTGTCCGTCTCCTCTCCTACAGTGGTGGGGACCTGTAGGTTTCGTGAGCGCTGTGTCCGGCCACAACTTTAGTTTTACTAAAGAGCCCGGTAGGCGCCCACTTGAAAAAATGTGCAAGCCTCCGGGCGCCTAACTTCCACCTCCCAATCTTTCTTCCCGGCCTCTCTGAGGTTCTTGGGGAGCTCTTCTTTAACCTTCATACGTCCCTTACCACCTGGTTCTGACAACAAAAAGTTGGAAATTGCCAGCTCCGGACCTTCCTGCGTTCTGGACCCCCTTGGGAGAGTTGAGCTGCGTTCACTCCTCTCTTTCCACGGGCAGTGCTCCTCTCCCACCCACTTCGCCCTATACCTGCTCAGGAGATAGCGGGCCTCACCCCCGGCCCCGCCCGCACACCGTGGGCCGGAATCCTGGACTCAAAGGCAAAGACCGGGTTAGCTGGAGGGACGCTGGGATGTGGCAGAAAGGAGGAGGAGGAAGAGGAACGGAGGAAAGCTGCTGGAGGGGCTCGGGGAAGTAACTGTAGCTAAGAAACAAGGACGTCCTGTTGGGATAATCTTGTCTGACCACGAACTGCATGTGGGGGTGCACGGGAGATGGGCACCCCTTCGACTGTGCGCTAGCTTCAGCTGATTGTCCTGGGTTGGGGGATAGATTCATGCTCCACGATTCAAAGTATTTCAAGAAACTATACTTGGGCCATTGTGAACAGGCTTAGTAAGAGACGCCCAGTCTTTGTTTTTCTATTACTGCCCTATCTCGCCACCCTATCCACTCTCCTTTCGGTTTCCCCTGCTCTGATCTGGGGTTGACAGTTCGTCCTGCCTCTTCTTTTCCCGTCTAGCATTCCCCTATGGCTAGGTTCACATTTTCTGAAGGTCAGAAACCAGGAGCCTCTTCAGGTCAGATTGGACCCGGCACTAGGACCTAGGGCATATAAGACTTTCACTGCCTCTTCGTGTTGTAGAATGGAGAGAGGAGTGGGGCGGGAGTGGGTTGGAGCTTGATCGTGCTGCTCCTGAAGGAGCAGTTTGCAGATGACTGTCTGTCCGGGTTCACCACGTTAGTGTTGCAGGAACTCCAAGAACTTGAAGAATTAAAAGCCAGGTGCTGGTCCTCATGCTCGCCTTGAGAAAGCCAGTGTAAACCCATACCCTGTCCCAGAGGGTCCACGACAGTTTTGCTAGGTGGCCGGCGACTTGAGGTAGCTCTCACGTGGCCGCGCTGGAGAAAAAGTAAGCATAAAGAGTTGCCAGGTCTCTCTAACCCTTTCTGGCTCTCCTATCCTGACCACTTACTGTCTCTCTTTACTGCCCTGTCGCGTTTCCTGCGGACAATGCCCTCCTGCATCATCAGAGGCTGTTCATTAAGGATGAAACTGAGAAAAGATCCAGGCTACTCAGACGTCTTGTGGGAGTTGGGGTTGAACTTGAGTGTGAACTTGAGAAGTGAAAGCGAGAAACAAAAACGACTTCGCTTGTGCAGGGCTACTAAGCAGCCTTTATTGGGATGACCGGCGGGTTTGAACTGGGCTTTAAAGTGGGCCTATTCCAGCTCACCCCCACACACAGGCTTTCCATCCCTAGGTCGTCCCAGTCAGCGCCCTGGCTCCACAGTTTGCAGCTTACTACTGTCCTGGGTCAGTGTCCTTTGCTCAAGGCAAACCTAGCCCAGGACTGAGTGGTCTTCCTAGGGGCCAATCCTGAAAACCTCTCTCCAGCCTACTCCGCCCCCGCCTAGAGTATTTGAGAGACTTTATCCCCAGGGAAGCCCTGGGCTAAGAAAAAGGTTAGGAGGCTCTGGTCTTTAAGATCCTTGTCCTACCCCGCAGCTGAACTAAGGCCAAGACACAGCACCAGCCTGCTGCGGCCTGGGGCGGAGAAGGCTGTATTTGGTGGTGCACAAAGCCTTTCACCCTTTGTCTGTGAGAGGGTCCACTGGAGTTCAGAAGACGCTTCTTTTTGGATTGCATTATTGAAAGGAATAACTTCAGAAGGCTGAAGGGAAGACTTCTAATTGTACCCATCTATTGGTGAGAAAGGAGGGAGCCTGTGTGTAGATTTCAAGGCTCCCTCCTGAAAGATCTTGTCAGCTGTTTATTACACAGGGGCACCAAAATGGTCGGATTTTTTACTCCTGCTTCCAAAAACAGGGGCACAGATGTTGTGGCAATCAATAGGTGATTGTCTCTGGGGAGGATTAGAAATCTGGTTTTATGCTTGCTGTAAACAAGGATGGGGCTTGGCTTTTCTAAAGTCCAGCTTTTATCTGTTTTTTGCAGGTAGTTAATTTTTATTGACTGGTAAACTTAAGAAAAGAGGCGCTTGCTCTCTGGAGGAGGGCCACCCTTCAGAAATATGGAGTTTTCTCTCTGAATGTCCTGCTGCTGGGCCTTCAGATTTCCTAAACAAGTTCTTGCTCTTAATTTCCTCCACAAGTTCCAGTTAAATATTTCTAACCAACATTCCGCCTCCCACAATTAAAAAAAAAATTATTGGAAGGGCATCTCTATTTGTAGCTCATTAATAATTGCTCATTAAGTAATCATCAGTAAGCTATCTTTATTCCAAGACAAGTATTCATTCAAACAGTTTAAAGAAAAGTTCCAAAGCTGTACTTCAGTTATTGTTGCAAAAATATATAGCCAAAAAAGCAAATTATTTGCTTAAATGGTTATATCTGGTGACTCACTCCCCTGACATCATGGGTAAATTTATAACAAGTATTGTGACACGGAAACGCTTGACATCCTGGACTTCTAGGGCAGACTTAAGTACCACCAAGGCTTTTGCTTTGCGATATTTTCAGATGATCAGGATTGGGAAACTAAGATAGAAATGTAAAGGAAAAAATTTTGAGCAGCAGGCTTTATACACATAGGGGATACAAGATTAAAACTCCTTTGTTGGCATTTATTTAAAATTTAGAAATCCTTGGATTTTTCTATCAACAACAATATAGCTTTCACTCTTTAGAGAATCCTTAAAAGATGGTTTTTTGCACCATTATTAAAGTGGTTTTATGTGATAACTCCACATAAATAGCACGTTATTTTATACTTTCAACCATAAATAAATGTTCACATGTACTTATTTTGGTAACAATTTGATAAAAAGTAAACTATTAACAGCTTTAAAAGCAACTATTCAGGTAACAATTTGATAAAAAGTAAACTACTAACAGCTTTAAAAGCAGCTTTTAAAGCAAACTATGTATTTCCATAGATTATGTTTTAAGGGTCCCTAAGGCATGAAACCTACGAGGTTATAGCACTAAGAAAATATAGAGTTTCAAGGCTGGTCTTCAAGAAAATGACATTTGAACTTTATAATAATACCTATGTTTTCTAAAATGTAGCACTTACACAATTGCCACCAAGATTTTAGAATTATTTAATTCAGGAAGTTTTTCTACATAGAAAGATAAGTAAATCAATTTTTCAGCTAAAACTTCACATTTTAGAACCCTGTATTCACCTTTTAGGAACATAAGATGACCTATATAGTTGTTATACCTTTCATTACCATCATTCTAAGAAATAAAAGTGTGAATCATAGCACATTAACTGGATTTTTTCACCACAATGAATAATTACCTCTAATTTAAAGTACATATTATAGCATTTAATTAATAGTTTAATTTTATTCCAGCAGATTATTAAGTTAGACAATTCTATACACAGAGGTCTGCCGAGATTTTGCAAATTGATAAAGGAAGTGAGGATTAACTGTGTAAAATAACATTAGTGCCACTGTACACTGGTGAAATGTAAGCCTTAAAGTTAAACATATTGGGAAATAAGAGAATTAATGCTAAAGTGAAGACTGTCAAGTTCTGGCCAGATTGAAACAAATCAAAGGTCCCTGATCACGTAAGTTATGAGGACCAAATTAATGATGGCAGTGACTTAAAAAATATATTTTATCATTCTAGTCACACAAAGAGAATTTCTTAAAACTAAACTATTTTCATGTTTATTCCACAAAGACAAAACCAGTGAAGCCTTTTAATTTGCATTAAAAAATGTATTGGCATGACTTTCATTACCACTAACAAAACATTTTTATGTGATGTT